ATTCTTCACTATGAGAGTAGTGAGACACTGGCTGTGAAGATGTCGGTCCTCCGTCCCCGGAGTTGTTCAAGACCAGGCTGGATGGGGCTTTGAACCACTTGGTCTAGGGGAAGGTGTCCCAGCCCATAGCACAGGGTTGGAACTAGACAGTCTTCATGGTGCCTTCCAACCCAACCATTCTGTTAGTCTATGAATTTATGGTTTTATGAAAAGAAAACTGAGATGATAATTCCTGGATGCAAAGTTGCCTTGAGTCCTCACTAAGTTAGCTCTCTGTTCCATGGCTGTGGGTGACAAGGGCTTGCACACAGTCCCCAGTGGTGGCACGTGGCACCACGGGCTGTGCTGCTCAATCAGGGCTGCAAAGTAAGGGGTGTCACAGAGCTTTGGTCATGGCACAGAGGGGTTCTGACCAGCTCTGGGACAATGGCACAGTGCTTATAGGATCTACACATCTGCTGCAAGGGGAAGATACGCAGGCATGGAGAGAGAATTGAGGATGCACAGCTCCCACTGAAGCACCTGTGCTGTTTGCAGTCACTGGCTGTGACAGCAGCACACATGAGCCGTGTGGGCCTCATACATGGCACTGTTAGGTCTATAAAGTACATTATGAGATCATCCAGAGATACACAAAGAAGCCCTGAGTGAAACTCTGTAAGATCATAAAAGCAGTAAAACTGTGCCAGAACATCGGGATGGCTCAACCTTTTCATGAAGGTGGGGGATATGGCTAAAAGCTGTCACACTTGCAGGCTGCAGGTTAAGCCTATGTCATTATGCTCTCCATACAGCACATGATTTTCAGAAGGAAAATGCTATGATATTTTGGTGTATTTGTTAAACCTAGGAGATGAGCAATAAGTATCCCCATTTCTCTGAGATACGCTATATCTGCAGCTAAAGGCGATTCCCCTGCTATGAAGTCCTCTCTTTTTCCAAACAGAGTAATGATGGGATCTTTGTTATTTCTTTGCTGTTGTGTATCGGTTCTCTGGACGGTGTGAGATCACATCTCTTGTGTGTCACAATAGCAGGAAAAAAACTGGGCTGAAAATAGATTTCTTCACCAAAGCAAAAGAAAAGCAAAATGTGATGTGTCCAAGAAATGCATCTGCAATTCACTTGCAAATCTAAACAGGGAGAAAATGATTGACAGACAATGTACAAACAGTTCTTGTAATAAACTTTTGAGTTCATACTGGTTTCTACAGCCATCTCCCACCTGCTGCATACTCCACAGTCAAGTTGCTAATTACAGCCTTCCTGTTGTTTTCCAGTTCCTCTTCTGCTAAATAATGGAAGAAGAAAGGTTCAGGGAAACTGATGCACTTGACAGCAAAAATAAATAAGGAAATGAATACATAACTAAATAAATAAATAATTAATCCAGTCATCTCCAAGACAAGGCTCTTCTATCATACCTCCGGTACCTTGAGCCAAACTTCAAGGGTTATTCAAGAAAAATTATGATCTGGCACCTCAGAGAATAAGACATAAGTATCAATGCTTAATTAACACTGCATGACATTAATTTGAATAAATAGAACCTTTTAGAAGGATGCCTCTCTATATTGTGGGTTGAAACAAGATGCCTTGTGGGAAGAATGACAAGCTCCCTAGGATTATGCAACATCTCTATGGTTATAGCACCTGGAGGCTTTGAGTGTATCATGAGCACAATGTGTTAGATGCTGTATAAACATACAGTTGCTGAAGATGCTTATCTTGGATTTGTAGCGTAAACAAGAAGACATGCCATGCAGTTCTGGTGACAGGTTGATCAAGGCTAAGAAGACAGGGGACCTAAGGAAATTTGAAAACACATTCACATTATTTAGCAGTTTCTAATTTGTTGGGACAAGGGGATTTTTACAAAAACTTATTCCCAAAACTTTATCAATGTAAAGTGCTTGCAAAAGTCCCCAAAGACATAAGAGTTGCCTTATGGTTTAACAGGAAAATAGAAAGGAAAAGAGTGCACAGGTTGCAGCAGAATAGCATGACAGTCAGCAACAACAATCAGTGTTTTCAAGCTGGGTACCAAATACCAACTACCTAATGCCATCTTTCCTCACCTGAGTAAGAGCAGTCTGATCAGCAATGAGCTACAGTTTCCACTGAGAGCTGCAAGAGGACAGCAGCTCCAAAAATCATCCTCTTTCCAGATTAATGTTGGTGGCTCCTGAGAAACACTCTATATCCCCTGAGGCATGCTGTTACTTTTCATGAGACAGTAAAATAACAGACCCTGTTATTTGTACTGTTCATATTCTCCTTGTGTGTGCATTGAAGGGGGACAAAAAGGTGTTTAGAGGGCTGGAGACCTTCTCCTGTGGAGATAGGCTGATGGAGTTGGGGTTGATCTGCCTGGAAAAGAGAAGGGTACAGGGAGACCTTAGAGCCCCTTCCAGAACTTAAAGGGGCTATAAAATAGCTGAAAGAAGGACTTTTGACAATGGCATGGAGGAACAGGACAAGAGGGAATGGCTTCAGTTTGGCAGAGGTCAGGTTTAAATTGGGTATTAATAAAAAAATATTTCCTGTGAGAGTGGTGGGGCACTGCCACAAGCTGCCCAGAGAACTGTGACTCCTCCATCACTGGAAGCATTCAAGGCCAGGTTGGATAGGGTTTTGAGCAACCTAGTCTAGTGAAAAGCATCCTTGCCCATGGAAGGGGGTTTGGAATTAGATTATCTTTGAAGTCCTTTCCATCCCCAAACATTCTATAATTCCAAGACTTTGCAGATAGTATGGGACCAGCTAGTGTGGCATATCTTTGAAGCAGCTCTGGAAAGACCCCTTGAGGGGAAAATGTGTCTCATAGCTGGCATGACTGACTCCACTATCCATGTGGACATAACTGGGGAAAAATACTGTGATTCCTCAGGAAATAACTGATTTGGATTCTATTATTGACTCTTGACCTTATGTCACTACTCAGATCTCCTGGTAGCAAAAAGATTATAAAATGCATCATGGTTGTAAAAAAACTGCATTTTGAAATGAGTAGCATTTTGTAATGAAAAAGTCTTCAGATTACATTGACGAGTAAGAATTCACCTTCAGTAAAAAGCTATTTAGACATGTCCTCTAAAATTTTTGTCTCTTAATAGAGAGCTTGTCATGTGCAGCAACTTCCAGAAATTTGAGAAGTTTTACTTTAGAGATTTCCTCTCCTTTTCCTTACTCCACTCAGTTTTCTGTTACCTCATTATACTGTTACCACTTAGTATGAAACCTTGACTTTGAAAACATTTTTTCTCTTTTTCTTTTTTCCTTTTTCTTTCTCTTTGTTTTTTATGCCTAGTCATTATCTTGCAGTGAGATCTTTCTCAGGGGTTAACTTTTTGAACTCTTGCTACAGACACAACATTTCAGCTCACACCAGCCCTAATACTTCCCTGCCCATGGCAGGGGGGGATTGGAATTTATGGTCTCTTCCAAACCAAACCTTCCTATGATTCTAAGATTATGGAAAAGAAAAAAAAGCAATTTAATTCATTATAGGAGTACATGGTTTCTCCCTAAGGAGTAATGAACAAAGTCCAGGACATGACTGGTAGGCAAAATTTTCATGCTTTGGGAACTGCCTCTTCTTTCTTATGTCAGTATCTGTGTAGTGCTGGTGATTAAAGCACTGGTGTTCACTAATCACTTTCATTCTGTCTTGCAAGTACACATAATTCTGCATTAATTTAATTTAAATATGACTTTATATTCATGGCTTTGACTTTTAGAACTCCTCCTACTGTACTTGTAGTTTTAATATTAACAGAAATTTCTTTCTCTCCACTCATCACTCGTATCAAGATTCCCAGGCTGAGGTGAACATTTGCTGCTTCTTTATATGGCAAGAGCCACAGGTGCCCCAGCTCTTCAGTTCTAGGTGAAAAGTTCTTAAATATCACCCTCAGCAACATTCTCCAAGAAAGTGTGTTTTGATTTGAAAGGCAACTAGACAATCTCCAGTGGTCCCTGCCAGCATCAAATATTCCACGATTCATTTATTCATGCTTCTGCTTCTCTACCATTTCCTTGTAATGTTCTGTCTACTGAATAGCTCCAGCTTGCTTGACATGTCCCAGCAATGATCTCCAAGCAACCTTTCCTCTTGATCACTGTGGACAATGCCACTATCCTGTAACCTTGATATCATCTTCAACTCATATTCCTGTACACTCCAGATGCCACTTCCTAGTTACACTGAAGCTACACATACATTCAAAGTATGTTTTGTGTATCATACTTCAAATAATGCCCTTCCTTGCTCTCTACCCATCTAGGTAAATCTCTCATCTCAGACCTTATCTTTAAACATGTCAATTACTGCAGAATTCCTTTCTTCCACTTACATCACAAGTGTAAATTTGCCCTGATGATATTCCCTGGATATAAAGGCCATTTTTCCAGATATAGTATTGAGCTTCCTTCCCCATTTCTATCAAAACTAGGCTGTCTGCATCCGATCAACCCATGTATTTTCCATGATCTATGCACTGGATTTTCAAATGAGTGCTTTTGTATTTTCTTTCATGCTGATCTCCATAAACAGATATAAAATTACCTTGCTAGTGACTTTCTTTCTCTGCAGCAACATCTAAAATTCTCTGACAAGGACTAGGTTGCAAGTGTGCTATTAGCATTGCCTGTCATACTGACCAGCACTTTCTTATCACATCCAGGGGTCTCCTCTGTGTGTCACTATCCATAGCTCTTGACTTCTACTAAGACATAAGTAATTTCATGCAGAGAATGTCTGTTTCTAGAGTGCCTGGCACAGCAGAAATGAATCCATGACTGAGACTGTGATGCAAATTATCCTTGTCAGCTAATAAAAACAGACATGGGTCAATAATAGACCAGTTCTAGAGAAATTAGTGAAATTCCTCATTACTCCAATTAGGGAAATCTCCTCAAGAAACATTAAAAACATCATAATTTTATTTTAAATGACAAAACATGATTAAAACATCCCAGGTATTGGAATTAGTACTCACTTTTGGTAGTTGCCTTCTAAGAAATATCTAGGAACAATCCATCAAATGATTCTTGTAGGATACTGTTTTAACCTAGACGTGTTATTCTCAGTCTACCTGAAAAATATACAGACATAGAAAAAAAATCAGTGTGTTGTTCAGTGATTTTTAACTTATTTGCTATAGAAAAAGAAATTAAAACAACTACTTACTGTTATACAGGGTATCTAAAACAGTCATCTATACATACGTGGTTCCTGCTGTAATATCACATCAGCACTACTAGGGTATGCTTAGTTATCTCATAGAAAGAAATGCATTTGTTAAATACAAACTAAGGTTTTTTATACAGCACTCAGAACTGGTGCCTGTCCTTGACCAACCATGCAAACATCCACATCCTCTTTTTGGCAAGCCAAAAGCGTAATTCATCAATTCCTCTGCTGGAGGTTCAAGAGTTTCCAATTAACACAGTAGTTGTTCCTTTCCTCTTCTGTGTTTTCGCAGGCTTCAGAAGATAAAAATAAAAATATATGTTTTTTTAGTTTATATGGTTATCCCAAATATCTAGTTTCTTAGGTTTTCTTCCTTTGTTAGAGAGAAATGGCTGAGATCTTCCACAGATGCCTCTTTCTGTTTCCACTCTCACATCAGTAAACCATCCTGTGAATTGGGTGTGGTATTAAAGAGTCCAAATTTAATGATGCGTGTGTCACAAACCTACCACACTACAAGTTCAACAAAAGTGTAGAGCAGCACTGGGGCTCCTCTTCTGCCTCTCATTAGCTAGTTAGTCTCAGGTCCCTTTTCTTAGCTCCTTTCCTTGTCTCAGGGAGGCCATACAGACTGGGAAGGCAGAGAACACAGAAAGAGGGTGTGTGTAGTTTCACTGAAAGCCACATTTGTCAGACCCATCAGCTCTCCCAGGCTACCCACTTTGTTAGATATGCATCTATTTTACATTCACTCTGGTGCACAAGGTCTTGAAGAATTGGAAAAAAAACCAGAAGGCTGAGTGATATGGTAGCATACTGTTAGGGAAGTGGGATTCCATGTCTGTCTTTGGCAGCTTCTTTCTGCATATATGGTCCAAAACTACATTGACCTTTGAATCTTGCCAATTGCAAATTAATTTGAATCCAAGCTGTCTATTGAAAAGGGACAAAGGTCACCTTTAAATAGCTGCTCTGCTACATTGCCCTTTACTCCATGGTCCACATCCTTTGTCTTCTTCCAATTAATTCTGCTTCTTCAAGAGCACTCCTTGCTGCTGATTGTGTTCTCGTACAGATTATTTCTCCTCCACATGCATTTTTCAAGGCCGCATCTCATTTTGTCATTTCCTGCCTAAGGTTTCTAGTCTCTCTATTTTTGCTGATTTATGCAGTGCCTCCCAATTTGGATCATTTGTGATTTTAATTAACATGTACTCTTCTCCTGTCTTCTGGCTAATGAATGAAGATATTTAAAGAAGACTGGACTCAGGACTGCTCCCTGATGTTCCCCCACTAGAAAACTCATGTGATTCAACACATTTTCATTTATTATCTCGCTTCACTAATGGCCCTGTGGATGGTTTTTAATCAACATCACAGAGTCCTTATCTAAGCCAATCTGAATTAATTTTCTGAGTATCCTCTCTTGTTGATGCTCACTTCAAATAGAAGAAAACAAAAGCAGAAGAGGCCACCACTCACCAGAATGCTTTTCTGTGAGACCTGGAAATGAGGAGGTAGTAAGAATAAATTGTTCACTTTCCTCTCTCAGGACTCTTGTAGACTTAGGATCCCCTAAATCACCATAATACCTATACTAATCCTGATTTTCAATATAAGTATTTTAAAACTGTTTGTCAAGGCAGGGAAGTGTTATTATTCCCACTTTGGAGAATAAGCTCCAACACAGAAAATATAAGGAAGTGGTCTGCTCTGCTCCTTTAGCAGTCATGGTTCGAAACTGAGGGTTTAAGGTTGCTCTTGCATTTACACCTGTCTTCTGAAAGTTACTGTGACATGTCCACATGTATATCTCTGGGATGACCCATCAAATGCAGCATCAAACTGATTTCATCTCTTAAACAAAAAAATAACCAACCAACCAAACCCAATCCAACCAAAATAATACAAACCTCTAAACGTCAGTAAATCTGTATTTATATCATTACCTGAATGCCATTTTGAAAGAACAGGCTCAAATAATGTAAAGTGATCTAGAAAAGGTGAGACTCACGTATTCAGAACATATAACTGCCTAATCCAGACCACAGGATACAGAATAAGTCTTATAGCAGTACCTGTTTGATCTGGTCCTTAAAGTTATTTGGGCATCTCTTTCTCACTCATCTGAGTTTGAGATATTCCTGAAGTCCTGGACCAAAATGCTTTCCTTGATGCTATACAGGACGTTTATACTGGACTTGAATACAGATCCACAAAGTCTAAAATGCGCTCCCCACCTGAGAACTTCTTTCCTTTCCTATCAGGAGTATAATTATGTAATGTGATGGACATTTCAGCTCCAGTCATGGTTCTGTGTTCCCTAAAAAGTAGGGTCCTAAAGACTACATGCACAGCATCCTCCACAGTCAGCCCCTGATAAACAATTTTAATATGGTAGTTACACACCTTTTGGATGAAAATTAAAAACACCTTTCTGCTACAGCAAAAAGGCATGTATACCATTGATTTATTTATGTGGGTAATGTATTTTCTGAAATATTAATTGATGTTTCTGAATGAGCTCTGAATTATTTTCAAAAGCTTGAAGCTTATGTATTTTTTTAATAAAAGCCAGCAGGACTTATTTAAAATGTTGCTATTATCCCCTCTTCCCACTCACCCTCTTTATAAATCAAAACCCATGGGGAGAAAAACAGACCAACAAAACCCTTCTACCCCCATTAAAAAAAAAAAAAAAGGAAAGTAAAGGAAGAAAAAGAATGAAAAAGGACAGGGACCAAATATTTCCAGAAGCATCAGCAATCATAAAGAAACCAATCACAAGCTAAGAAATTATCTAAGGGAGCACAGAGGGAGGTAACAATATGAAGAAGACAATTTAGAAAATATTTGTAGGAGCAGAATTTATAAATACTCATTATATCTTTTAAACACATGTCCAAATTAATGTGTGTTCTTGCTTCTTCCTTTCCCATTAATATATTTAATGCAAGAAGATATGTAGGATAAAATATTGTCACCAATATTCTCTTTCTATTAGGAAATAATTACACAGTTTTTTCACTCCAAACTTTTAAACATGGCCCAGTTGGAAATGAATTGCCTTTGACTTGCTAAAAATAAGCATGAGAAACTTAATCTAAGTCCATCACCAGTGCAATTTATACTATACACCACTTCTGTAAGGTGTAATTAACAGTGCATTGCTATAATTTATTATTGGTTTAAAAAGCCTGAAAATCAGATCCTTACAGCAAAATGGGAAAATGGGAAGCTATATACCAGGCATATTATTGTGGCTTATATTAATTCAGTTATTTTACCTTTGGTGCACATCTATCCATCCATACAATGTGAATGCTCCATTGAGAATGATGCTGGGTACTGAACCTTCGGCTCAATATGAAATATGAACTCTGAAGCATAGCTCCAATAATACTTCCATTTGCATTATTATGATTAACATTCCTCTGAATAGGAAGCATCCACTAATATTAATTGCAGAAATAGTGAGATTCCAATTGTCATAAATCACTGTGCAGTGTAAAGCAAGCTCTCAGAAAACAGCACAGAAAAACTCTTTTTTGTTTTTTTTTTTTTTTTTCTGAGTTCATTTCAACCTCATTTTAACCAGGCTTATTCATTTGTGTCCATTGACAAGGCAGTAGTTATGCTTTTCTCTTGATTAGCACATTCTTTTAGGTAAGGTCCCAAACAGCTTTCACATGAAAGGTTGAATCCAACAGAGCATGTTTTTTTCTCATTAAAGACTTAGCATTCACCCACAGGTAATTTATCACACAGATACTCCCTGTCTCACAGGAAGGAGAGTGGCCTTGAATCCAATGTTCTTGGTCTGATCAGAAGTTTTTTCCACAACGGCTGAAATGAATGCCTTTTCAAAGATGGTGATTGCTGAATTTATTTAGTAAGTGAAAATATGGGAAGGGAAAAGATACACTGTTTCTCTATTAAAGCACAAGGAGACATTTTGCCTTATTTGAAACAATATTATTGCAAAATCTGTATGATCTTATTGAAATTAAATTAATGTATTTTTATATTTGTATCAAGTCAACATTTCCCCTTCACTGCCATTTCTTTCTTCCACAGTTAGCAAAACTGTCAATATTCATTGATTCATCAAAGCAAGCAACCCTGACATTTGGTGCATCAGCTTTCATTTGTAACAGGCATACGATGCAATGATTTATTTTGATGTATTACATTTTACCCTACAGATCATCCAAAAATAAAAATGCTTTCATTAGAAGTGTTGTGAAAACAAGGCATCTTCACACACAAGGAAAGAAAAATTTCTTGCCACCTGTGCTCTTTAGTCCAGACTTTTGATGGTTGGATTGCTTTGGAGTTTGCCTGCTTGGGGGTTTTTCAGACCCCCAAATGTATCATATATTAAAAAAGCAACTGGAGGGTCTAAGCAGTGTTCAGAGCTGGAAAGAGCAGAGATTTTCCTAGCTGGTGTCCTGCTTTGATTAACTCACAGTAGGTGAGGTGCCCCTGAATTACTGTGGTATCAACTGAGTTCCTAATGACAGGGCCCACCTTGCAAGAAAATGCTTTTCCTGAGACAGCAATTAGTGCCAACCTCAAAGACACCAGAAATGGTCATAGATGGCCTGGCTGCTTGGCTGCCAGTGGGAGGGTGAGGAAAGGTCATGGACATATCCTCACCTAGGACCTTCATACTAACTGGCTTTTCTGGCCAAGAATACTTTAGTCCCCATCTTTGCTCCTGATAGGAGAATCCACAGAGCAGTTATACATTTTCAGGTAGGAAACATGTTCCAACTGCAAATTCTTTTAGCAGACATTTACAATTAAGTACAGGTTTAAGTCTCACCAGGGACATCAGAGCTTCAACATGTGCTTGAAGCCAAGTGTTCCCTCAGAGGGCTGTGGCTGAATGAGGACAGT